CTCATGTTGTGGCCTTGTCATAAAATTAAGACTACACCCACTCCGCGAAAACACCTGTTCTAGTTCATGCTGTGCCCCTGGAGCTAAGCGGAAGACAAACTGCGAAAGCAGATCTTCGGATTTACAAACCACGAAAGCAAATCTTTGGATTTAACTTTTTAGAGCGAGTTAATCAACAGCGGCTTAGCAACGCTAATAAAGGCGATACGTGCGACGGGCACAAAAACTGCTAAGGCCGTTTAACAAAAAGCAATTTTGGCGCGAAAAGAACGCTCGCATTCAGGAACGGTGTCCCCAGCTGCCGGCCGGACCGGACCGGTCGATCATGCATAAACCAATTCGCCCGCATATATACATATACATATATAATATAGATAGATAGAGAGAGAGAGAGAGAGAGAGAGAGAGAGAGAGAGAGAGAGAGAGAGAGAGAGAGAGAGAGAGAGATATATATATATATATATATATATATATATATATATATATATATATATATATATGCAGGAGAATCGGTATATATATATATATAATATATAGATATAGATATAGATATAGATATAGATATAGATATAGATATAGATATAGATATAGATATAGATAGATATATATATATATATATATATATATATATATATATATATATATATATATATATATATATATATTACATACACATACATGTGTATATATGAGATTCATATATATATATATATATATATATATATATATATATATATATATATATATATATATATCATAGACAAACATATATGTGTGTATACATATATATACATGTTTTTATATTTTTATACACATTGCTCTCGTGACGCCGATCAGCAGTATGTTCAGGAGTTTGTGGATATGTGTGAGTGCTCATCGAGTTATACCGATAACTGGATAAACTCGTATCAATATTGCTTTTTATAAGGCATTGCAATGGATGAAGGCGTCTTTCATTTTCAACGACAGCTTTGCATAAGCTCTACATGACCGATAAACTGACATATCTTGAAGCTATCCATTTATATTTATATATCTATCGATTCAACTAGCCTGTTCATATCCCTTTCTTTCTTGAGGTACCTCACTCTGTCGCCCTCCCCTCACCCTCCATTTCTCCCCTTGTCTACCCCCACTTCGTTGCTCGCGTGACGCAGTCGCAGCGTTCTTCATTTCCCCAGCCCCGGCTGACCGCTTCTGCGGCGTCACGCTAGGCCGCCTGCCAGTGGAGCCAGCCGCTTTGCCTCGGCTGATAAACAAAGCCCCACCTCCCCCCCCCACCCCCTCCTCCCCGGGTCACGCCACACGCAGGGCGACCTCAATGGGCGCCCACTTGACCCCGTTCGGCGCTGAACACCATTTCTCGCTGGTGGAGTTGATCGATGCGAGCTTTTTTTAGTCCCAAAGGAAGACTGACGCAGCGAGGCCAAACTGAGCTCGATGCTGAGGCAGACGCAAGCACAGCACAGCAGATCCTAGTCCTTCACCCACAAGGTCAAGGTCATGGATGGACTAACCCCTCGCCCTGACCAGCCACTGTTCTCACCCACTAGCTTGCACCCTCATGGTAGACAAGCCATATGCGGGTGTTGATCGTCCGCTTCCTTTCCACTTACATTTGATTGCGTTGTGCACTCATTTCTGGTGCCACGTAGCTGTGTGACGTGCCCTTATCACGGTCACGTTCCAAAGGTTTAATTACGGCCGCCGCCCGGCTGCTGACAGCAGGCCATGTTTGCACACGCCAGTGCGCCTTTCATGGGACACCGCCAGCCCTACAAGGTTTGGAGTGTTGGGACGACCCCTGATCAATGCAGAGCGCCAGGGTGGGAGTACTGGAGCTGTAACTGGAGCTGTACACTGGGGCAGGCCCATGGAAGGACCCGGTGGATGGGGAGAGGGGGCGGGGGGAAAAGCCATGGGCCTCCAAGACGGCCAATTTCGGACGGTAAATAACCATTTCTGGATTTTAAGGAAAATTTTAACTCCTTTTACAAGGAGTTTGCTTCAGAGGATTCCTAGGGGTGAATGGAAGCGACATTCGATGAGTTTTATTTTTCACAAGTCAAAACTGTACCTAACTTCGACCACCAAAACCGACATTCCTTACCCATGACGGCGTTCCGAATCCACCATTGCGCATGACAACAGTCGGAACAAATGAGAGATAATACTACACTTCGTCGTCGTTGCAGCCGCGTCGTCCACAACGCCAGAGGCTCAACTTCTTCAAAATGATTAAATGCACATTCATCTTCAGATAATATTTTCGCACAATGCTGAGATTATTGCCAAGACTTTACGCCAAGGATCCGAGGCGTTAGGGGGGGGGGGGGAGGGGCTAGATTTGCTTGAACACACGTGGCTCACTTGTGTGCGTTGTAAAAGGACCCCAGAAACATATTCGAGAATGATACCAGGGGCGCATGGCCCCCGCTATTATAATTTTTACTTGGCTGATATGGCTGTGAATAAATGCCGGTGTAAGAGAACGTGGCGTGCATTCGCCTGGACTCGTCCAAAAACCGACTGGTATCTGCGAGTGTTGGGACTCTGCCGCCGTCTCTGCGGCTGACCCTTGACCCCCGGCGAATCGGGAGGCCCGCGGTCACGTGACGCCCCCCGGCACCCCGTCAGATGTAGAGCTCGGAAGACAGCGAGGGCGAGGGCGCACACTCCGCACAATCACACCGCACCCCCACCTGATTGTAACCAATCATACCACTCTACCAATATACAAACACTCGTAATCGTCTATGAGATCGGTGGGGACACTGAAACCGTACAACTCGACTGGTTTCCGGCGAGCGCGACCGCTCCTCCGCGGTTCCTGCGACTCTCTCTCTCCCTCTGGAGGATCCGGCCGAGGCGATGGTAGCGCCGCACCGTTGCTGGACACGAACAAGTCATTTTTGCGCACACAGCACTCATTCAATTCATGCTCACCACAACACAATGACTGAAAGTTCGTACTGGCGTTCTACACTTCATCGCGATCGCTCCACGATAGCGATGGGCGCTCCGCAGGGTCCGCAACCAACGGGCTTGATGGCACGGCAGGCGGATCTGAGCCGCCCTCCGTGGACTCATGATTCGACACAATGTTCTTCATCGGCAGCGTGCCTGTGTCGTCCCCAAACTCCCCACCCGCGCCGGGCATTCGGCTCCCGTCTGAGCCTTTCTGCGGGTTCCGGTGCCGCGGGCATCGCACGTGCCAGGGCGTGCCGTCGACCCCAGCCACCTGGCCCGACACGACCCGCGTAATTACGCCCTGGCGCGACACATCGGTACACCGCATGGCGGGCCTCCGGCGCCGCATCCACACCGCATGGCCGACGCAAAACGACGATGAGACGGGTTCCTGCATCGGCGGCGGTGCGGGCTCGGCAGCGCGCTGGCCGGTCGGCAGGTCGGCACCGCCTGCGCGGGAATACCTGCGCCGTCGGCGCGCTCAGCGAGTTAGCACCGTCTCGCGGAGTCGCATTGTACCGATGCATCGCTTCACTGACGGAGCACCGTTGGCGGGCAACCAGCACTATTATAGTTCGGTGGTGGCGCTCCACGATTCCGTTGCCACCGGCCTCGTGCGCCGCGCGAAACAGCAGTCGAACCCCGCACTTCGCGGCGAATCCAACCATTCGCCGGCTCCGGAAATCAGTGGTATTGTCCAGCAAAATCTCAGCCGGCGCGCCTCGTTCTAGGAACGCTCGATGCAGATGATCCGTCACTTCTGCCGCGTCAGACCGTCACAGTGCGCTCCAAATACTGTACCGGGACGGCCCGCAGTCTACGATCGTGAGGTAGAGGCGGCCTTGGCAATGGGTCACGCCGATCGCGAGTCGGGTCCATGTTGTCGGGACGCCAGTGAGCCGGACCGCCAGCGAGTCGGCACCGGTTCAATCGAAAGGCACACATCGCACTGGCTGACGACGGCTCGCACGTCGGCCCGTGCCCCGTCCGTTCGTGTATGCTTTTAATCCGGGCACGAATTTGCTTTTTTGTTTAAATTGCTGAACCCGAACGAAGTCGCTTGCCGTGGGCTCGTGAGCGGCTTCTTGGTCCGCCGGGGGGGGGGGGGGCGCGACTTCTTCCGGCCCGATAGTCGCGGAGACCAAAGTCACACCTCGTGGGGGTGCCGTGCAACATTTTGGCGCGGCGGCTGCTGCGGCTGAAGTCACATCTCGAAGCTCTGCTCGCAGCCAGGTCTGGGCAACTCGGGCGAGCGCGTCGGCAGGATTGTCTTGTGACTGCACCAGCTGGGGGGTCACTGAAAGCTGGAACTCGTCAACCAACTGTCGCATGAGGCCAATCCAACGTCTGATCAGCATCTCCCCCTGCGCCTTTGTTCTGAGACGAGAGCGTCCGCTCAAGGCGTCACTCAATCACTTGAACACTGGCCGAATCCGTGCGTAAGCTGAAGAGCTTAACGCCCCATGCCAGGGTCATGTTCACGCCACTCATCGCCGCGACCAACTCGGCTATGCTGATGTGGTCCGCCGCCTTGGACTCTGGCCGGAGCCACGCGGCATCCTCGAGAACGCCGCCCTCCGTATCCTCCAGGACTACCCCGTTCGCGATGGCGCTCTCATCAGTCCACACCACGAGCTCCCGGCCGACCATTCGCCACGGCCCACAAGCAGGGTCAGTTGCCCTCACCCGCGTTGCGACTACCTGGATATGTGCGCGCAACGCATCATCCAACACTGCGTCGTTCCACCCGATCGTCAGGCCGTTCACTCGCCTCTTTAGCCAGGCAGCTGCTGGCCGCAACCATCCCGCCACGGGAGGTGCGCTACCAACTGTCCACACCACGCAAACACTGCACGCCGGGTGAGCTCGGTCGGCGGTGGAGGCACCTCATTGTCTCGACACCACCGCAGCTCATCATCCCGACCCTCCACTCGAAGGCCGAGCATTCGCGCTCCGTCCGCGACGCGCTCCGGTGGCTTGCAGGCCAGCCCGTACCTCGCAAAGTGCTCCACCACCTTGTCGGCGCTGACCACGTCTTCGTAGACGAGCAGGTCGTCCACATAGGCGAGCACTCCCCGGCTGATCGCCTCGTTCTCATGCAGCACCGCCTGAACAACGGCCTTCGTAATCAACGGCGCCACATTGAGGCCGAATCCGAGCCGCATGAGGCTGTAGGTGCGGCCTTTGACCTGCACAGTCTGATACGGCCACAGCTGGCGCTCCAGACGCAGCTGGAAGCACGATTTTCGCAGGTCGACCACGGCCAACCGGGCATCATACTGGCGCCAGCGGCGCAACTGCTTGGAGCACACGTCGGCATCCGCGGTGTGCGCGGTCACATGCGGTTGAGTTCGCGGTGGTCCAACACCGCCGCGTCGCATGCCGGCTCGTCACTTGCCTCCGGCGCCTCCTGCGTCGCGACACCCAGCTGCACGTCAGTCGGGGACCGAACACTGATGCCTCCTAACGCGGTGATGCCGGAAATGTCGATCAACACGTCCAACCCCAATGGACGATCCGGGACCACCAGCGCCGCGAGCATTACTCGCTTGCCTCTGTAGCCGAACGTCACCTGGGCGGTGCCCACGCACCGCAGCACTCCGTCGTTCACCGTTCGCATCTTGACCGCGCACGGGCGCCACGTGCGGCAGCAGATCACGTGAACCAGGGTGTCCGTACATCCCGTGTCGAGCAGGGCACACCGGGGGCGCTGTTCCACCAGCAGTGTCACGACTGGCAGAGCGCGCGCTGCTGCTCGGGGGAATGCGCTGGCGCCAACGCAGCCCCCCTGCCCGTTTGGGCACGCCGCTGCCAGGTGACCCGTCTGTCCGCAGGTCCAGCACTTCCGGACGGGTCGCCTTACCGGTCGCGCCTGTTGGGTTCCTTGTTCTTCGTGCGCTCTATCCGCTGCCGCTGCCGCACCGGCACGTTCGTCGCTCAGCACTGCCGGTCTCGCACCAGGATGCTCGCCAGACCCAAAGCCCCCGCCCGGGAGTCAGCGCGGACAGTCCTCCGTACCTCGCCGGGCAGGCCGGCGACAAAAGCGCACGTGAGCGCGTTTTCCGGAAACCCCACCGCACAGAGCTGCGAGACGCCGGAGATCCGCCAGGAACACGTCAGTTGACTCACCAGGCAGCAGCCGTCGGCTGGTATATGCGTTGTACACGGCAAACTGATCCATCGCAAAGGCGTCATAGAGAGCGTCACGCACGGTGTCACTCGATTTGCGCATCTCCTCCGGCATCTGCAGCCAGACGGGAAACGCGCTACCCGTGGGTCGCGCCGGCAGAATGCTGGGCAGGTCTGCTCCACGATGACGGCAGAGCACGGCCGCCCTCGTGAACCACTCTACGCCGTCGGCCGTGCCATCGTACTCGGGGATGAATCGCGCGTCGAGTGGGCCTCCACCAGTCACCGCGGCCCCTCTGTCCACTCCGGCGTAGAGTCGACATCACCGGCGCTGTGACACTTGCAGCAACCGCTGTCACAGCGTCGCCACTGGCCGCGGCGGCCTCCGGCATGACGGCCGAAATAGCTTGTAAGAGAACGTAGCGTGTATTCGCCTGGACTCGTCCAAAAACCGACTGGCACCTGCGAGTGTCGGGTCCCTGCCGCTGCCTCAGCGGCCGACCATTGACCCCCGGCGAATCGGGAGACCCGCGGTCACGTGACGCCCCCCGGCACCCAGTCAGAGGTAGAGCTCGGAAGACAGCGAGGGCGAGGGCGCACACCCCGTACAATCACGCTACAGTCGGCAATAAAAAATAAGTGAAACACGTACGATAGTGCCGTGGTCCAAAAGATGCGATGTTGTTACACGACATGCAAAAAATATCGTACGCTTGCCGTGCGGACTATTCCTTTTTCCAGTGAAGCTTTTCGTTTGTGCCCATATTGCGAAGTCCTGCATGAATCCCTGCTGATCGCGTGTAACGTACAAGGTTTGACCCTCTTAGAACTGGGAAGGTGCTGATCACGAGAAAGCCGCACTGAACCCCACTCCCATGCAGGTGATATCTCCAGCATGACACAAACGGTAACCCAGGGCGTACAAGGCGTTGCCTCCCTCGTGACACAGGACTGCTATCCACTGCGACCCATACCTTATTAGCGGGACCCGATCACTGCCCTCCATCGTGACCGGTCCCCATCCCCAGCGCGACCGCGCCTGTATCTATAGTGTGACCTAGTCTCCGTTTGATACCGACCAGGACGTGTACTCACCCTGGCGGACTCAGGCCATTTCTGCCGCGAGGCGCGAGTCGGTCTAACTGCGAGTGAAGGGTGATGAGATACGTTGATGCAGTGTCAGAATGGGCATCGCTCAGTGGTCAAATCATGCTAATTTTGCCCAGAGTTGATGTGGCGAGAATAGCATGCTCAATTAATTCAGGCCAGCTCCAGAACACACGTGCCCAGCCAACGCCGGCTCCGACTGTCTGCCAGGCAAAATGAGTTTGAGGCAAAATGAGTCCGCACCGTTTCCTACCACCGGACCATCCCCTATGCCGCCTGGCCATCCCCTGTGCCGCCTAGCAGTCCCTTTTGCCACATAACAGTCTTCCGTGACACCTAGCGGTCTCCTGTGCCGCCTAACAGTCTCCTGTGCCGCCTGGCCATCCCCTGTGCCGTCTGACCGTCCCCTGTGTCGTCTGACAGTCTCCTGTGCTACCTGGCCGTCCCCTGTTTCGTCTGACCGTCCCCTGTGCCGCCTGGCCGTCCCCTGTGCCGCCTGGCCGTCTCCTGTGCCGTCTGACCGTCCCCTGTGCCACCTGGCCGTCCCCTGTGCCACCTGGCCGTCCCCTGTGCCGCCTGACTGTCTCTGTGCCGTCTGACCGTCCCCTGTGCCGCCTGGCCGTCTCCTGTGCCGTCTGATCGTCCCCTGTGCCGTCTGACCGTCCCCTGTGCCGCCTGGCCGTCCCCTGTGCCGTCTGACCGTCCCCTGTGCCGTCTGACCGTCCCCTGTGCCGCCTGGCCGTCTCCTGTGCCGTCTGACCGTCCCCTTTGCCGCCTGGCCGTCCCCTGTGCCACCTGGCCGTCTCATGTGCCGTCTGACCGTCCCCTGTGTCGTCTGATCGTCCCCTGTGCCACCTGGCCGTCCCCTGTGTCGTCTGATCGTCCCCTGTGCCGTCTGATCGTCCCCTGTGCCGTCTGACCGTCCCCTGTGCCGCCTGGCCGTCCCCTGTGTCGTCTGATCGTCCCCTGTGTCGTCTGACCGTCCCCTGTGTCGTCTGATCGTCCCCTGTGCCGTCTGACCGTCCCCTGTGTCGTCTGACAGTCTCCTGTGCTACCTGGCCGTCCCCTGTTTCGTCTGACCGTCCCCTGTGCAGTCTGGCCGTCTCCTGTGCCGCCTGGCCGTCTCCTGTGCCGCCTGACTGTCTCTGTGCCGCCTGGCCATCCCCTGTGCCGCCTGGCCGTCTCCTGTGCCGTCTGACCGTCCCCCGTGTCGTCTGACCGTCCCCTGTGTCGTCTGATCGTCCCCTGTGCCGCCCGACCGTCTCCTATGCCGCCTGGCCGTCGCGCCTGACGTTTCGCTGCGCCGCCGCCTCACTAACCTGAACGCGGCCGCCATCGACCTGGGCCGGTTAGGCCCCGACGCTGCCCGCCACAGCGGCGCTGCACTGACACAGGATTATCGCCTCTAACGGGATCGATGGCGCCCCGTGTCGAACACCAGCCACACATCTGCCGGCCGATCGGTCCGACGGCACCGATGACAGCGGCGCCGGCTGTGTACGCCACCGCGTGAGGCTCGCGGTCCGCCCGGCGGGAGGTGACGCTCCCCTCCACGACCATGTAGCCATCGGCAGAACCTGCGCTCGACTGCTTTGGACGAGGCAAGTTCGGCTGCTCTCTCTGAGACTGTGCATCATACTCCGATCATAAATTCAGTTCAGAGTTCGAATTCGAATTCGGGACGAGTCGATTAATTCTGCTCCAATCCAGCAGCAAAGTCTGTGGCTGGTTCCGATGTATATTTGAAAGGTGACGACTTCCATCACAATTGTTTTGAGTGGACAAGTCTTCTGTACATGGGCTAAATAAGACCACATTGCGGCTTTACTAATGCAATCAGACAGAACCACAATGTTGGTGATACAATCAGTGAGCGAGAGACAGACGAGCGAGACCATAGAAGGTGTCAGTGTTGTCAGTTGTGATGTAGAAAGAAGAATCCAAGGGTGGCCAACCTGGCTATGGCCCTCCCCCTAGGATGGCGTAAGTTGAGGAAAACTACCATGTTTCTAGACACAAGTGTGGAGTCATGGTCACGTCTCTGTCTCGTCTGCCTGCTGAGATCTGATGTCAATCCTCAAACACATTCCAACAAGTGTGGAGTCATTTTCACGTCTCTATCTCGTCTGCTTGCTGAGATCTGATGTCAATCCTTAAACACATCCCAACAAGTGTGGAGTCATGGTCACGTCTCTGTCTCGTCTGCCTGCTGAGATCTGATGTCAGTCCTCAAAGACGCCCCGACAAGCGTGGAGTCATGGTTGGCACATGGCAGCGCGGTACTCCCTGGACATGCCGACCTGCACTGCGGTCTATGCGACTGCCTGCTGTCTCTTCGTCCGAGCTGGCCGCTCTAGTAACGCTGCGACGCCATATCGTTAGGGTCTGGTCTTAATCGCACTCGCATTCTTCAGTTCCTTTGCATTTTGAACAGTTCATCTTTTTATGTTAATTCAATGGGGAAACCTAAGTCAGAGTGGTATCATCATGTTGCAGGAAAGCTGGCGCGGCCAGACGACTTACATGTAAAGGCTTCGGCACTTGCACAGCACACTTTTAAAGTTTTAAATATGCGCCCCGGTGGTCAGTGAAATATGACATGCTCGGGTGTGGGGGTGGGTCAATCTATCCACCCCTAAAACATAACAAGTGAAGGCAACTAGGTGCACCGATTTTCAGAGCCTCAGATCGGCGACGTTATTTACCTCTTACAAAGTCGAAATGACAAAACACCTTTGCGATAATATATGTTGTTGTTTAAATTCAGCATCAAGAACTACTCGAGGCAACAATTTGTTCAAAGCAAAAGGTTGATCGAGGTCACCTTAGGTCTGTGACCTTCCCTGGCCTGCATAAAGGTAGCCGTCTATTCGTGATCAATGAGCCTCAGACTACCCCATAATAAGTTGTCAAGTTAAAAAGCTGTTTGGTTTCAACTTTGATACGCTCTCCATACCTGACCCAATGCCAACGGAACTACAGCTTTAAGGAATGATTCAAATAAGGTATTCGTATCACAGCTGGCACCATTATTTGGGTCACCGTCGCCGTCTGTTGTGTTGGTTACACAGCGCTTCCACCAGTTAACTCCCCGACCGTCGGCGGGTGCTGTGGGGGCCTGAGCAGTACTGAATGATACTTGACTGTCATCCATGTATGCGTCGCAATTCGGCTTCTCTCCTTAGAATTGCTGCGATTCAAACTAGAGGCGGCCGCATGAAGCGGTTGGAATCCCTGTAATTTCAAGGAGATGATTCGGGTTGTGATGCATGAATATGTCATAGCCGAGCACCATCTAGGTTCTTTCGGGATTCCATACATCTGACGACGGCCAGGGAGTGAACTGGCCGAAACGTAGGTGATTAACACACCAGACAAAGACGAACATCAGTGCGCTTATTCCATCCGTGTCAATGGAACTAGTTGTAATTCTAGTTTTCATTGACTAATTGTCTAAAAGATCATCTCAAAGTTGTATAACTTCGTCCAAACCTCCTTTCTCGCGTTAGCTTGAAACATTCCCTGAGCATTGCCTTTGCCGACAACCATGGCCAGCCATGTGCTTGCTGCAGGTCAGCGACCTTCAAATGAACACATTATTTTTGCACAAGAATGAATTTTTTTCGTCGGAGTCAACGCAATGTTTAACCATCAAACTCCCTTAGGTTTTTCAAAAAGACATCCCTCAAGGCATTTCGACCCATTTTTATGAAGGAACGCAGTGTAAAAAGCAATTGAGCCGTCTTATCACCAAAATCCAATCAAATAGCTTTCCCATTCGTGGAACAGATGGCTGTTTACGGTGTAGGGTGCGAAAACAGCTCATTGGGAACAGGAAAACTGTACCAATCAGTGGGACGGAGGCGTTAGATAGCCTTGGACGGAGGCGACCAGTACCAAGTTGCAATTAATTACGCATTTGAGACAGACTAAACGTTCACGGCAACGCATCTTTGCAAAGGTTTCATACGCCGTATATCATAGGCCATACCTTCATTGACAAGTGTCTTCACCTCACCGACAACTGATAACATCACAGTCACAGAAAGAAATGGCAACACTCGTTTTCCTTGCTATAGAAAGACATCATCATTTACGTGGTTTATCTACATCATTCGGCACAATTCGTTCCCCTAATTAGAGAATATATTTTCAATATTCCGGATAATTCTGTTAGATTACGCGGTGGCCGAGGCCGTCCCAAGACCGCAGTCATGGGGACTGAAATCCGCTGCCAGCGCTCCCCTGATCAATTGCTGATCCTACCGATACGTCCACGATATGAGCAGCGAAAAAGTGGTGAAATGTGGTTTTGGGGTCAAAAAGTGGTTTGGGGTCAGTCGATAGCTTTGATCTCCGACCAAAAATCTGCGGCATCTGACATGATAGTCATCGGAGGCAAATTCGTAGAAGCGAATGATACCATTCGATATAAACCTGGGTTCCCCACCGTCTTACGTGCACAGTTAGAGAACCCGCCCAGAGCCTAGCATCTATATGTTTGACTAAAGAATAGACTACGACTTATATAGACACAATACAACTCCACGTTCCAAAAATATAATTCGATGCGAGTAATGCCGTTACCGCTGTTAATGGTACACATGGAGGCACAGCTGAATGGAGACCATGTGCCTTGGCACGTCTGTGGCTGTGTGTGTGTGTGTGTGTGTGTGTGTGTGTGTGTGTGTGTGTGTGTGTGTGTGTGTGTGTGTGTGCGTGCGTGCGTGCGTGCGTGCGTGAGTGCGTGCTTGCGTGCGTGCGTGAGTGTGTCAGTGCGTGCGTGCGTGCGTGCGTGCGTGCGTGCGTGCGTGCGTGCGTGCGTGCGTGCGTGCGTGCGTGGGAATTTCCGTCGCCGTCTTAGGCCTGGAAATGCGGGGGACCACAGACCGTCGAAGATTACATCGACCCTCGCCGAGACTTCGTCTTACCTCTCGCTCGTTGTTGGCGAATTGGATGCCCAGGTTGGTCATAGCTCTCAGGATCGCCACGAGTGACTGGATGGTATTGCTATAGACCACTGGACGATACTGCTTGAAGTCCTCCGCGGTGAACCCGCTCTCGTGAATAATTCTGAAAAAGGTACGAGAGCACAGGTGAGGGCCGCCAAAATTATATTATAACCTCTCGATTTGTGTCGTTGGGGCTTAACGACGCACCCACCTGCTGAGGCTACATGGCGTTGACTGTCTCTCACCTTGGCCGGAAGGGCGGGCACCGCGAAAATCGATCCCCGTACTTCTGTTTCCCAGACGTGCAATGGTCAACGCAGACGCGTTAACCACGGCACTAACGGCACCCGCTGCCCTCTCCACTTGAGGACGAACTTGCAGATAAGACTTTGTTGCCATTTCTACCAGTTTTATTTTAAACTTCCGGCAGCGAATACCATGACCGTAAGCAGACTGCGAACAGGGCGAGAAGAATCCGCGTAAGGGAAGGCACCCTTTACTAAATAATTAGCTTAGTCTGGTATGACTCTTGAAATGTGATGATTTAAGATTATCCCACAGTACACTCACACAATGAACTGGTTGGTGGAAGAACCCTCCTGCCGTAGAGATCTCGGTTGCCCCGCTCCTGACTCCGCAGGAGTTTTATCATTATTGACATCCATTTCATCATAACGACGCTGTTCGTGAGTATAATTCCTATACCTCCTTTCAATGGGGGAGGGGGGGGGGGCAACCCCTGCTGCAGTCCCATTTTTCCGGCCTATTAACCTGCAATGTTCTCAAACTGAAACAAACTTTAAAACGAAACATGCTAAATCCATAGTGATTATTTCCTTTTAAAGCTTGCATACTGTATTGTATTGGATTTTAGGCATGGCTTGATTATGCCACCGCCTGACATTCGCTTAGCCCCAAACTAATAACAAAACAACTTTGGTGAGAATGCACTGATTATGCAAGTGATAAATTAGAAGTTATGAGTCAGCAGCACTGCATCCAATCAAAGTTCTTAAGCTGATAACAAGAGACACACGATAATATCAGCGGAGGAGTTTCATAAATGAATGGGAGAGGAAACTTAAGACAGCACCCATGAAGACCACAGTCTTTTTGCTGTTATGGGTGACGTTCACAGATCCCCGCAATTTCGGCCTCAAATTGGGCCAATTCTGGCAACTGGGATATCCCCAAACAAAACAACACGGAGGCGGGGACCGGAAGGCTGTACAAAAGTTCCAATGGTCGACACGAAAAATGGACATACTAATGTGTATACAAAGACGAAATAGGCGTTCCTGCAAAATAAGCTCGTTGCGAAAAAGTTGGCGCTGAAAAATTGGTAAATGGGAGGGCAACCGGAGAGTCAGTCAAGCCAGATCAAACCGGATATTTGAACATTTGAATGTCTGAGATCTTTGCCGCACTATCTTCTGCCTTGCCAGTGAAGCCAAGTCGTCACTTGCCGCTTGCTGCACCCAAGACGCCACCAGACCAACTGGCCAAGACAACCAGGCTAACGCCTCAGCAACCATGTCGGTCAATGATCCATCCCGTGCATCCTCACACGCTCCCGCATTACCAGCGATATTTGCGATCAAAGTGGTCAGAGCTGCAGCGCGTTTATGGTACCCACGGCGGCTGAGGGCGTCGATAGGTAGCAGACATTCGAGGCGTGTATTCGTTGTCTTTCATTTCCCTTGCTTGGTAACAGGCTAAATAAGTCGGATAAAGCAGCGTCCCTTGTGTGCACCAGACAGCATGGGAGCCATTAACATAAATAAATTACCGGAAAAGGCCCTCCACCAGACAATGTCATCACACCGCCTTCGGAGGAGAAAAAAAAGATCAGCATGGTGACAGGAAGAACAGCGTGGTGACAGGAAGGATGTCTTGATGCGACATCGCTGCACTGAACGTGCACAACCGCTCCTTCCCCACCGGTCGGCGCGACGATCCCGGAGCCGCACCTGCCCTGGTAGGCTGTCTGATGACGCCGGTGCTAGGCGGCACAGTCTGCCCAACGCGGCAGCGGAGGGCGCGAGGCTGGGGGCAGTGACGGATTTGGGGAATAATGTTTGGGTCAGGGAGCTAGAATCGCTTTTGAACTAGGGTGGGAGTAAAAAATTACATCGCAAAAAGACCGTGCGGGAGTGAAAAAATCAATTCACGAAAGATGGAACTTATGAGCTCGTGACTGATGCTTCAGCAAACAAAGACATCTATTTCAAGTTGGCATGGACATAATATCAGGAGCCTGACAAACCTATTTCGTTGTTTAGCATCTTGGGCCATTAAAGTGATACAGAATACATTAACAAGCGCTCGGGCGAGGGGGCAAATTGACCCCCCCCCCACGAGGGCTTTTCCCAAATGGTTTCTGAACGGCGCGGCGTAGCCGCGCCAAATTTTGCATAGCTGTAGAAAATTGCATAGCGGATCGTCTGACATACAAATTTTGAATGTACCTTGTAATGTCGTTGACCTCTGACAGGTCACAGTCAGCCCATGGTTCCAGCGAAGGCAATTTCTAAGGAATCGTTCAATCTGATACAACAGCGGAGTGTTTGACGAAGACATACATCTCTGAGATGCTTTCTAAAACACCACAAATATTGAATGAGCAAAGTACGTTGATCTAAGGTTAGGTATGATGATCAGACCAAGGTCAAAACCAACCTGATTTATTACTCTGGGGCTTGCTGTATGGGATAGTTTCTGATGCTCCTTTCCAATTCATTGACAGCAGCAACCGCATTATACATCTCCAATTTACTTCTTAGAGGCCAGAACAGGCCATTGACCCGAGATGAACCGGGTAGAACGTTTTGTTTTAGGAACATACTGCCTAGCGTAATCTTTGTCGCTTATTCAAATGCAAAACGCAGATCAGTCTTGTATCATTTTAGTCACCATGGCGTTCAAAGGGTCAAACAAGGTCAATGACCTCAAATGGGCTCGTGACATTTTGCTTAGAGACAGTTGTCTAGGTTCTGGGGACGCTTTGGAGACCAACTTGGAATTTGACCTTGTTCGACCTTATTCGACTTGAAGGTCATGACCTAGGAAGCTGAAACCTAAACCTAAGTGAGTTCACGTATAGGTCAAGACATCCTGTAAATTTGGTGTCTCTAGCTTTCTTAGTCCCCAAGATCACAGAGGAGGGGGTCAAGTTGATACCCCCCACCCGAGCGAACGGTATCTAGCCGACCAACCGGGCGCGTGTTAAAGCATAGTAATTTTGTGACAGTGTTATGAACATAGCAAATTATTAACACCAATAATTTGGTGCTGCACTTTTCAATTCCCTTCCACAGCACTTTTAAAACAACACGAAGCAAAGGAACTCAAAGACAAAATAACAACAGAAAATTCAACAAGCATAAAACACAAAAAAACATGGTCTCCTACACATCAGCCATCATCAAGTCAAATACAATAGGCATACTTCTGGCTTCTGTTAAGATGGGGTCAGGGAAAACAAAATTTTGTCACTGTTTCTTACAAAATACCAATGCTTATTTCCATGAAAGTAGCCTATGCCTAACCTAAAGCGGCCGTACGTTATCTCATCCTGTATAGCCTGTTTGTATCACAACAGCAGTTGTGAGTTACTGATTCTTGCTCAATTCCTATTGCCACTTGCCATGCACTTGACCAACTTAACCTAACTTAGATAGCCCATATGATGAACATCATCTCAACCCACCTTTCTGCTGACAGCAGCACTTGTGATAAATACATGATATTTAGAGCTAGTTTTTTGGCTGGCTTCAACTTGCATTTTTATTTAGTTCATTTGTGTATGCTTGTTGACATCGGACAAAGTTGACAACACGCAAATCAAAACACTTTAAATCACTTTGAACAGCTTATTTTGATTGTCATGGTGAACCTACGTCAAATGCAATAATGGCTATGCTCCGCAACATAATTTCTCTTCTCCAAAAATAACATAACATTTAGATGACCATGCCAGTATTGCTGCTTGCCTTTTCAGCTGTAGCAAATGCATCCATTTGGGCTTGTTTTTTCATATTTAATGACAAAGTTTGACATGTTGGCTTCACATTTTAAACGGGGGGGTCTGACTATTTGTTACATACCAATATTTAACTCATATTATAATTCCTATGCAGCTTAGAGTATCCATGTGTTAAAAATATGGTGCATATATACAGTACAGTCATTTGCTGGTCAGCAAACCATGACAACCCTAGAAAACATCTGGTTAAAGCAGCCATGAGGGACCACCTTAAGAAATTTTGGGCAAATAACCAAGAATATGGAACAAAATAAGCCCATTGCATGCCTTGTGGCATCATAATTTGTCTTATGGTAAAACTCGATGCATTAAAACAGAAAATGGTTAATTCTTGTTACCAATCATGTGTTGAAAGCAAATAAGGTAAGCAAATACTTGGTCCGCAGGAGACTTACTGGCTTCTTCCTGCTCCATAAAAAACAAAAATTAAGTACCTTTTGCATGGTCTGCTGGCAGACAGAGTCATCCGATTCACCCCCCAAATATAAATATCAATGATGCCCACCAGCCTTCCAGATAAAAATGCGAAATAAGTAAGAGGTGCGCATGATAAACATCTCCAGAGAGCACAATTTCGCCATCAAACACTTCTGTATTAGTTGCGCCACGTCTGTCCCAAGGCTCCATTTGGCAGCATTATCATAGCCTTGCAAGGTAGACTGGTAAGTCAGACACTCGAAAGGCCTGGATTTATCATTATTGAGCACCGTCATGAACCAAAAAAACGTTTAACCAAAGGTTTAAGTGGGGGGGGGGGGGGGGGAAATGGCGGTAAAAATAAGTTCCGTGATTCAAATTGTCTCCTTCATTCCCTGTGAATTGTGCACGTTTGGGTGCATATCAAACATGCTCGGGCGGCTTGCGAATTAATCCAATTTATGTATGAAATACGCACAAGTTTGCAGTTTGAGGATCTTGCAGAGAAATTGTTCAAAATTTTAAGCAGCAGATGGTACCTCTAAAGACAATCGAAAAGGAAGGAAGAATAAAGTGGTAGCACACTGGCATGATACCAAGAAAAACAAAAGTAGATAAATAAATGTAAAGACCAGTATTTTCTCGCAAAATTTTGTAATCAGCTGATTTGACTTAAAATCTGTTAATACACGCACTCAAATGGTGAAATTCATCTTGTAAGTTTAATTTAAAAGAATTTCTTGAACTTTTCACCCCTGCACGTCGGGAGTGATGCGGTTTAGTGGTCAAGTTTCCTCGGGAAAATAGGAGTACGCAGAGCAAAATTCTCTACCAGGTCTTGCTGGTGTTTGCACCAGGCTCTGCTTTTGGTGGTGTGGTGGTGAGACCAAAAAATAGGGGATGCGTGAAAACCTTGCATTTGGCGCACAGCTGCAGATTGTAATGTATTTTGTAAACAAACCAAACTTAATGCGTGCAAGCGGCTGGGGTCGCTGGGGTTTTTGGGCTTGGAGGTACCTGGCGCCCTTGCTCTGTGCTCTGTGCAGGCAGGACATAGCCATAGGTGTCTAGGTTCTGTGGAGCCTCGTTTATGCTTGGTGGTTTCAAGTGGGCTCGGTTTTGGATGACATCTAAAAACCTCCGAAAGGGAAATAGGGTTTGGCATGTGCGATTAGACAATGTCAGGCAGGAGTGAAAAGTTCACATGAAATATGGGGAAAAGGAGTGAAAAATTTTTCCTCATGGGTTGTTGCTTTACACCCAAAGTCGGCAATTCTAGGACACTGGTTTGGGTAGATCGAATTTTGACGGTCAAGTTTTCACAGCTCTGATTTTTCAAGTCACGTTATTTCGCGGGGACACTGATTTCTTGGGGTATGTACCACAGACGTGGCCCCTCAAATCCATTTCTTCCACCTCTGCACAAAGATCACAACTACCCGGCATTACATGAAACGTCACCAAAGCCAGACGAAGTGGCGTACCTCAGTGACGGGGTGACGCTGTTAAGAGTTGCTGGTTAAGTGCTCGGTTCGTGATAGCTTTGTTGTCGTTTTTGCAATAACTAGTTATATGGATTTACATTGGTGAGCACTTCGCAACTCGGATATGCACATACTGCTAGTTCTACGCCTAAGCTGTTTTCAATGGCGACTGGGGCATAAAATAGTTGAATGTTTGAATGTCTTTGAGATATTTGAATGGGGTTAAATAAAAGCTTCGATATAGAATCAAATGCTTGGTAAATAAAGTCCGTGGCTTTTTGAAGGTGGGAGATAATCTTGAACACAGAACACGTGGAAAATTTATGAGGACACTCGTCGAAAATGTTACGAATATGTATGTTTTTATGTTCGAGCGAAGGCTAGCCTAGTTATCATTACATAGACATATGAAAACATTCAGAACCAGAAAGCCTTTGCTCAAGACCGTACGAACTTCCGCTGTCTACCTGTGGTTCACCCAAATATTGATGAAACCCGCTACCGCGACCAATTTGCAACAATTTGTACCGACTCACACTTGTACCAGATCCCCAATAACTGTCACGCATTACCAATGTAAAGTCCACCGGCCAAAGCCAGGAGTAACCAAAAATAAGACGGTTTCAATAGAACATTCCAATGCTTATTGGCTCAGAACTATTATCACCAAAAAATCCCAAACTGCATTGCGTGGGAGAGATATTGGCATCCATACAAGATATTACGTTACTACACACGTTGCGCAATATATCATTGGTAACATGTAATGCGTCCTAGTCTAGTTATTCTCTGTGTTCTCGGCTCTTTCTGTCACTATTGCTGCTACCTGGCATGCAAGTGAAATTGTCAAGTCATCGTAGGCCAGTGACGTTGGTTGCATTTCAGTCATGATATAAGCTGTATAGAGGGTAGCCAGTCGGTTTTCTTACTTCAGACTTGTAGGCGTTACTCTTTAGCCTGTGTGCATAATTGTTTACTGAAAGGTCGTTACAGCCACTGACCAGGGGCCTAGGTTAAAACTGATCTCTCGAACTTCACAGGTCATCGAATCGATGACACAATTTAAGGTCGAGCTGTTCTTTGCGAACTGGTTACTCAAGAAACATCAAAATCTTTGTGGCTGAAATCAATTAGCGGGAAACTTCAAATCGACTCCAATTTGATGGTCGAGCTGAGAAAACTTTGGACTTATATGCTTTATAAAATCTTGTCCGGAACAATTACTTTATCTAAAATCTCTCATTTTAACCTGCAACGTTCAACCTTGAACTCACAAGGGCGTATACCAACCGGAGGCGCACCGGAAGTCTTTCCTCGTTGGTGTAGGGGGAGGGGGGGGGGGGAGGCAGACGATGGATCTTTTGGTGATTTCCCCTCTAGCCAACCCCAATTGAGCCGGTTTGCCCCTCTCCTGGTACCCTTAGTTCCCGCGCCCCTGCTACCCTTCCCCTGTCAGCATTAAACCTGGGAGGTTTGAGAATGGGGGAAGTGAGCGGCCAGAGCGCATCTGTGGTGGAGTTTCAGGCCGGTCTGGTAAATGTTTGGTGTTGTGGACATGGGTCTGAGCGGTGCTGATTCAAGGATTACACATTACACATGTTTGAACAAAAATATTTAGCCGCAACACACATCGGATATAGCCTGAGCGACCCACAGTAAAATCGGAAATTTCTGAGACAAGTATTCCAGACTGCTTGTACTTTCCAAATGAGCTCAAATCATAGACTGACGTATTTGATAAATTGTCCAGGCTGCATCATCGTGTCTTCCGATGCTCATTTGATACAGCGGCATTAGATGCAGTCAGATGAATTACATAATGGTGTGTGATGGCTGTGCCAGTGACAACACACACGGCGATTGCACAGCGTAAGTCACAGCATCCGACGCACAATAGAGCACAGCGTCAAAGAGAAAACAAACCTTTACAGAAAAAAGATTGGTGGTTAAACTGAAATATTTTGCTTGTGGAAACTTACTTCATCTGTTTAACGATGGTACTTTTTCCGGATTCTCCAGCACCTAGAAGAAAAACAGCAGGGTATGACAGACGTTTGTAGTAAACAATACGCAGACTGTGGCTGAGAGCGTCATAGTTCCTCAGCTCAATGATTCACGTGCAACCTATTCAAGCACGTTTTGCGACATGCACGTCTTGGCTGGTCACCGAGCAATCACAGGGCAGCGTTGACACTGGTGACACGTGGGCTCTGTAACAGCGAACAGTCCGCGTCATCACACACCGCGGCTGGTAGTGGTGTCCAGACTCCTGGTGCCTCCCCATGCCCCTCAGGAGACCCGGACAGCCCGCGCCATCACACACCGCGGCTGGTGGTTCTCCACGTGTCCAGACTCCTGGTGCCTCCCCATGCCCTTCAGGAGGCCCCGACAGCCCGCGCCATCACACACCGCGGCTGGTGGTTCTCCACGTGTCCAGACTCCTGGTGCCTCCCCCATGCCCCTCAGGAGGCCTCGACAGCCCGCGTCATCACACGCCGCGGCTGGTGATTCTCCACGTGTCCAGACTCCTGGCGCCTCCCCCATGCCCCTCAGGAGGGCTCGACAGCCCGCGCCATCACACACCGCGGCTGGTGGTTCTCCATGTGTCCAGACTCCTGGTGCCTCCCCCATGCCCCTCGGGGGACCCGGACGGCCCGCGCGGACCACGCTCCGGGCACCGCTGCTCCGCCCTCACCCATGCTCCACGGGGAAGACTGCACGGTACAATTCAAGCCGCGAAGCCTCAAGCTGCGCGGAAAAAGGACGGCTCGGGAGAGGAATGTGCTAGCCTTTCCGGCTCATTTCTGGCCCGGGGAAGCCAGTCACGTGCGGGACTCTCAGTGAGGTCTCGTTTCATCTCTACGGTGTGAGGAAGATCTTGAGGAGGCAGAGGGCTCTTCCCTTATCGACCGAGCGCCCGTAAGGCTTCCGAGATTCACTGAAAGGGAATGTTTCACATTTGAATGTATTGAATTAAGCATTAGATGCGTAAGTTATTCGGTGCATTTACATATATATATATATATATATATATATATATATATATATATTTATATGTATATATATATATATATATATATGTATATGCATATATATATATATATATATATATATATATATATATATATATATATATATATATGTATATGTAAATGCACCGAATAACTTACGCATCTAATGCTTAATTCAACACATTCAAATGTGAAACATTCTCTTTCAGTGAATCCCGGAAGCCTTACGGGCGCTCGGTCGATAAGGGAAGAGCCCTCTGCCTCCTCAAGATCTTCCTCACACCTCACACTTTCAACCAATGTTATGCGCGGTACGATGACGTTATCGAACAATGGCGCATCGAGGAGCATATGTGCTAAACAGACATTTTGTTGTCTAGAGCAGTATCTTTCTCTTAAGAATATTAACGACAGTAGTACGTGAGATTGCTTCATCATATTTAATGCTTAAAGCAGCAATAATAGGTTTATTCCACGGAGAAAAACTAGGAGAACGGATATATATATATATATATATATATATATATATATATTGCTTCATCATATTTAATGCTTAAAGCAGTAATAATAGGTTTATTCCACGGAGAAAAACTAGGAGAGCGGATATATATATATATATATATATATATATATATATATATCCGTTCTCCTAGTTTTTCTCCGTGGAATAAACCTATTATTACTGTTTTAAGCATTAAATATGATGAAGCAATCTCACGTACTACTGTCGTTAATATTCTTAAGAGAAAGATACTGCTCTAGACAACAAAATGTCTGTTTAGTACATATGCTCCTCGATGCGCCATTGTTCGATAACGTCATCGTACCGTGTATAACATTGATTGAAAGCCAACTAACGGCCGTTACATTTGGAAATTGCACTCACAAACGCCGGAATAAATGACTTGACCATTATAATTTGCATTGGTCTCCAACGCCACATGGCTTATGGAATGGCAGGATCTGAATGACGTTATCATGACGTCAAATGCCAAGGTGACCTTGAAATGCTCTCCCCGAAATAGCCTTCCCATCTTCGTTGACGCGTAGCTCAGAAACTAGTTTGCTTCAGGCTTCAAGAAGGGCAGGTCTGTAAACTACACCAAACGATCTTCAAGATGGCTATTTCAGTTCAAAGCCTGACAGAAATGTGGAACACTCCCTTTAACGTGAACGTGGATTCAATCGCTTCGGGTCTACCATTCTAATATGTGATACACCATACTGTGCTAAGGGCCACTCGAAATACAAATACAGCTGAGGCAAGTCTGGATGACCCGTACCGAGGATAAGGTTAGGAAGGGCGTGTCAATCAGGTCTTGGGACGTGCAGCAGCCCGCCAACCGGGCTTCAGCACTGGTGTGTTGCAACATGTAGCTTTTTACCTTGTAGCCGATGCGGGTCACAGCACTTTTCTGCCTGACTGACTGTGTTCCGGACAGCCCTTAACAAGGTATCGTGTGTTGGGTCTTGGCATGAAGAGGCTCAAATGACTTCATTGATGGTTTTGGTTTCCGTAATTTAATCTTCTTCTAGGTGAGGGCCACGGAGACCTTTTGCCTTAGCCATCTCTGTTTGGAGCGCCTCTTGGTAGTGTCGTGTATCTGTTGTAACGATGTGGGAGATCGAATTTGTTCTTTGGTATCGTTTTGTTGATAGAACATGCACAGGTTCAGAACATTTTCTGTCTTTCGCACGCCCTAAGTTTTGTATCGTAATTTTTACCTAACATTTTCTGTAATTTCTGACCATGAAGACTGCATTGAAACGTCGCACATATCATTTCCCGATATCTTCTTAACCAGCTACTCCAGGTGCACATCCAAAATCGATGACTTTCAGCACAACACTTCACAGTGGCTCTAGTATCCCACACGCTAAACATGCACAACATTCGCCGACCCAACAAGAGGAGCAAGCCCTGCAGCATGTTGCATAAGTTCCGCGGCCAGTTGTAGCCTCAGGCGATTAACGCTGGCCCAATCTCCTCCTGCCTTTCCAGCAGCGCAACGACGCTCGACGAGAGCGCTCAGAGGCAAATTGAGCCTAGTGACTGAAGCGCTCGTGAAATTTACAAGGCTCACTCAGACTCTGAGCAAACTCCGAAGGAACACTCGGCCGGCCGGATTTGCCTCAACAATCTCTGGTCTTTTCTCAGAAGATCTCTCCCCCTAATCCCCCTGCCTGATCGCATCTCTCTTACGGTCTTACTGCCTTCCCACGCGACCTCTTTTGATGTTGTCATTAATGAGCCTGTTTGCCCACGTCCTTATGAATGGCTGCCGTCGTAGCTATCATTGATTAGTTCCGTGCTCGTGTTTTCACTCCACGGCGTTTACCCACTTGCGTGTTGCAGCCCCATTAACTATGTGTGTGCTCTCGTCGTATTTGCCACTCCCTGCTCTGCCCTGCGTGGCTCTGTCACCCACTCCTTGCTGCGGCCTCCCCCGCTCTGCCGCCTGCTACCCGCCCTGGCGTCCACTCCCCGCTCTGACGCTTGCTCCCCGCTCTGTCGTGGGCCCCCACCCTGACGTCCGCTCCCCGCTCTGACGCCCGCTCCCCTGCTCTATCGCTTACTCCTCGCTCTGGCGTCTGCTCCCCGCTCTAACGCCCGCTCCCCGCCCTGACGCCCGCTCCCCGCTCTGACGATTGTTCCCCGCTCTGCCATAGGCTCCCGCCCTGCCGTCCGCCCCCCGCCCTGTCGTCCGCTCCCCGCCGTGCCGTCCGCTCCCCGCCGTGCCGTCCGCTCCCCGCCCTGACGCCCGCTCCCCGCCCTGTCGTCCGCTCCCCGCCGTGCCGTCCGCTCCTCGCCCTAACGCCCGCTCCCCGCCCTGACACCTGCTCCCCGCCCTGACGCCCGCTCCTCGCCCTGACGCCTGCTTCCCGCTCTGTCGCTCACCCCCCGCTCTGCCGCCCACTTCCCGCTCTGCCGTCCGCCGGCGCCGCAGACCGATCGCCGGAACGGTGGTCGGGCGAGCGGCGATAGGGGACGCGTATCCGCTGATAGGGGACGCGTCCGACGGCGGTCGGCTGCCCGACGCCGGACGCCGCGCACGGCCGGAAGCTCGCCGCCGCTCCAGCGGACGCGGACAGGAAGCCGACCCGGGTGCGCTGAGAGGTTCGACCGGCGTGATGCTGGCGCCGGGGTCCGAGTGGGATGCTGCCGCACCTGCCGCTATGGACGCGGTGTCGGGTTCTGTCCCCTGACGACGCCAGCAGAGTCGCGAGGAGTATATGTGAAGTGTTTGCTGGCTTGGTATCTACAGTCATGCAGACAAAATGGCCTGTTTAGTCCGTCTTGGTCTTATTTCTGATCATGTCAGTAGTTCTCACCTTCATTATGACTAAGCCCCTAGGCGACGCGATCAAGTCAAGATAAGATGCTACCACCTACCGCCCGATTTGGCGTAGCATCAGACTGGAGCAGTCATCGCAAGGGTTACCGCAGCGGCATCTATCCGTCATTTCTTGAAAATAGATCGGGGTATGGATTGCGTCCGTCATGACGTTTCGAACTATGGCAGTGATACCTCGAGCCGCTACCAGGGCAGCAACTGCCGCCTACTGTGGAATCAGTTACACTGAAATAGACCTACTGTGACAATTTATGCTCGCCACCAGCCCTTGAAACGCAGAGAGCACGATTCCTGCTCGTGGGTTAGGCCTGCAAAACCCAACGCCAGGTGACTCAGAGACCCGGAATGGCCCGCTCGCCGCTGGTTCGTATCCGATGACCCACTGCCAGGCGTCAAGCTCCGATGGCGATATCAACCCAGCTGCTCGGGTGCCGCGATCTCAGTCCAGCCGCTCGGGCGTCAGCCGCCCCTCGTCGCAGCTCAGCCCAGCTGCTCGGGTGCCGCGATCTCAGTCCAGCCGCTCGGGTGCTGCGATCTCAGTCCAGCCGCTCGGGCGTCAGCCGCATCTCGCCACAGCTCAGCCCAGCTGCTCGGGTGCCGCGATCTCAGCCCAGCCGATCGGGTGCCGCGATCTCACCCCAGCCGCTCGGGCGTT